TCCTTTTTTTTTTTTTGTATAAAGTGACTGACTTTTTCTTTTGGTTTTGAAATCATTTCTAGTTTACAAAAGAGGTTTCATAGCAGTACCAAGACCTCTGTATTGCACTCAGGGTTGACTAGTTGTCTCAGTAGTGTCCTTGAAGCAGGGATCCAGCTCTAGACCCATACCCTGCTCCCAGCTGTCACTCTGATTTCTTTCCACCTAGAACAACATCCTGTCCTGGTCTCTCCTATCCTTTGACCATGACATTTTGAAGATGGAAGGCCAATCCTTTTGTTGAACACCTGTCCATCACCAAGCCCTGAGTAGCCTAGGCTGTACTCTTTGGCAAGAATGTCACAGCATCGTGCTGTGACAGCCTATTAGCTGTCCTGTGATTTTTACCTGGGCTTTGGAGGGAGACAAAGTTTTGTCCCTCATCATGCTGCTGTTGTTGTTGTTATGTGCCGTGGAGTCGATTCCGACTCATAGCGACCCTATACAGGGTTACCGAGACTGTAAATCTTTACGGGAGCAAACAGTCTCATCTTTCTCCCGCGGAGTGGCTGGTAGTTTCGAACTGCTGACCTTGCGGTTCATGGCCCGATTCGTAACCACTAATCATACTGTTACCCACTAGTTTTTCTTTAGTTTTGATTGCTGGCTCTTTTCTAAATTTATTATTATGGTGCTGTTTACAAAATGGTAGTTTTCTCATTCGTTACTTCTTCACATATTATTTGGCTGTCTTCTGTAAGAAAGAATTTTCTCATCATCATTATTTAATTTAATACTCATAGAATCCAAAATTTGGACAACAGGTGTCCCTTCAACTGGTTTCCTATAGTCAGGTACACACAACGTCTCGTCTATCTCTAGTTCTACACTGTAGACATATAAACAGTGATATTGATTACATTCTTCAAATTGTGCCACCATTCTTTCTGTTTTTTACGTAATTATACTACAACCATTAACATACAAGAGGCTTCAAAACGTTAGTGGAGAAATTCAATTACCGTCTTTATTCAAGTTTTTATTGTGAATTCATTGAAGGTTTACAGGGTAGATGATCATTTTTATATTCAACAATCATATTTTGTTTCATTGCAATGATTATAATCCCCTTTAATAGTTAACAATATTTACCTCTGTTCCTTTTTTTTTTTTTTGATGTACATATACAAAACAGAAAATATATATTCATTTAAATATCCAAAGGGCACTTTTTTTTTTTAATAAAAAGATAAAAAAGTATGTCATAAACTTTAATAACATGTCTATATAAAAATCACAAATTTTAACCAAAACACTTCATTTTCCAATGATGCACCATTACTGTTGTTACATTTAATGACTTTTAATTTTTCTGTAATTTTGGACCCCATAAAGGCAAAGTGAACAGCTACCATAAAGATGAAATGTATTGATACTTAAGGAATACAGTCAAGGATGGGACAAAATTTTCCCATCTTCAAGAAAGACGTGGTCTCTGTTGAGCTTGACAAATGGGACTGGGACTGTAATACATAAAAGGCAACTCCTGTTGTAATGAGAAAATTAGTAAATGAGCTCACTGCCAAGAATACTTAACATACTCGGGTACTATGCCAACCCCAGACCTAAGAGAGATGCAAAGTCAGAAAAAGGAAAATAAGAAACACTCCTGCAATAATAAAAACCCCTTTTGTTATTCAAACTTTATTTCTCCTCTGCTGTTTCGATTTCTGAGTACATGCTGCATAGTGCTGCATTAGGCCGGCATACAAAAGCATCAGTTTCACTTCCTAACTCTGTTAGCTGTTCTAGAGAAGACACACAAGGATAGTGGTCTTTTAACATATCTGGTAATTTAGAAGTCTTATCCTGCAGACGCCGTGAACATCTCACTGGTGTTAGAAACTTCAGCTCTTTAAATATGGAATTTATTTCTTCAAGCTGAATCTTCTTTTTTATACTTTGCAAGTATGGCGTAGTAGATACATTAAATTTAATCAAGCAACTCTCCCTGGCTTCTTTATTGGGAGTTTTAACATTATAGGTTGGATCTGTTGTTTTGTCCTCTTGCTCTTTTTCACAATCAAGAAACCCTACACTTCTATGATGTTTATTTTCATTTTCTGCTTGTCTGGTTCAGGATCAACACCTGGGTTTTCAATGTTGATTTCGTGGACTTGTTTCTTTCGTTATACAAGCATCCTCAGTATTTTCTCCCAAATTAACTTTTTCTTGACTCTTCATTGTTAGAATATCTGCAATTGCATGTCGCATCTCTTCAATAGGCTGCACCCCTGCCAGGATGGCCTTTTCATAGATGGCAATAATATTTTCAATAGGACTTGTGATTGGTTCAAGACGTGCAAGACACACCCAATATTTAACAAGTTTTGTAACATCTGGAATATTTTTAATCATGTCATTCAGTGTGGCCAGTATTTCCTCTTTTGGGCATCCCTCATTAATCAGGTTCAGGCAATCAGAAAATGTCTTGTTTACTTTTTCAGTAAATAATCTTTGTTCATCTTCTTCTGCCATGGTGGTCCAGAAGGACCTGACTGGGTTTCCATTTTGTTCACCTTCCGGCTCAGGCTGGGTAACTACTGAGCTAGGAAGCCTTTTCAGCACTCTCCCTTTACCAGCTTTCCACTCAGTCAGATGAGCTGTTCTTTGTTCTGCAGTTTCTTTGGGATGAGCAGATTTATTACTGACATTTGTCTTTGCTTCTATAGTATGTCTTCGCTGGTTGGTGGTTTTTGACTTTTCTATCAATTTGATATTAGAAGATGAGGCCAGCCTGGTTCCATTTTCGGATGCTATGCTTTTTGATTGTGTCTCACTTCTTTTTATGTCCTGAGAAGAACTGGTTTTGACAGTAGATATATTAGTTTTTAATTGAACTAATTCTTTTCTATAAGGCCCTTTCTGAACTGTAACATTGGCAGAGGTTCTGATGATGCTTTGTTTCTGCTTGTCTTGGCCACTGTCGTGGTGGTTTCTAATAGGAGGTTGCACAAGTTTGTTCTGAGATGCACTGCTTCTAATTTTAGTGATGGTTGTCACATTTGGGTCTCTAGTACTTTTCACTGGTACACTGCTCATGGTCAGAGGCTGAGGTTTGCTGGCATTAGGCACATTAGTTGAAAGTTTCTTGTTTGCTGTAGAACTCTCATCTTTGACTTGTAGAGGTTTTCTGAATGAATTAATCTTTGACTCAACAACTTTCCCACGATAAAATCCAAGCACAGGTTTCTTGGGCACCATAACATCTTGCTTTGGTTTTTCTATAAGCATTAATTTTTCTTTAAAATTTTTTTTAAGGTGAAATGTCTGATTAAGTTGAATTTGGGGATCATCTTTAATTAGTACAAATGACAGAGCTTGATTACGCATATCAAGCGTTAGAGTTGAATTGGTTAATTCACTAGAATTTAAAGGAATTTAATTTTTTTCCATCATGTTATTTTTCTTCCATGTAGGTCTACTGGCATTTTCTTTACCAGCAGCCATTTTTGTTTGATGTTTCAGAATGTTCGTCCCTTCTTAGACCTGGTCCTCAGGTGTCATCACTCTCTTGTTTCTGCTCCTGTGGACGAGGGCCTCTGGCTCAGTGGTAGCTGCAGTCAGGATTCTTTGCACAGTCTGGGGCGAAGGCCTCACTTCTCAAGTGTGACCGCTTCAAGTTCCCATGGAAAAAACACACAGCACTCTACATGCCTCCACTAACTTTGCTCTTAGACTGCTCAGGGCACTTTTTTTTTAAGGGAAAAATCTTTTCTTTTTTTTACATCAGATTCCTTTTTTTTTTTTTTTTTATGTTTTTAATTGTGGATTGAGTGAA